TAACTATTTACAATCCATATTAGCGGCATAGCTAAGAGAACTGAGTGAAACATATCCAAATTTAGTGGTGACAACGTGGGAAAGCAAGCTGTGAGAAGCGCTCAAGGAAGCAGGAAACGGACCTCAGCAAGTTAGCGGAGTGTGTAAGAATGTGACAGCTGGAATACAATATAGAGCTTCGCTAAATGAAAAATACAGCATTTTTTTTTAAATGGTGAGAGATTGGGAAATTTTGGTATTCAGGGACACCAGGATATCCGTGTACACAAATCACAAAAAGTAAAAATGCATGTAATGGGGAAAACAGATGGCATGTTAACCTTTGTTACAAAGAAACTTGGGAGCATGAAAATACAACAAAAGTCTGTATACAATCATGTAGGGCCTTGGAGTGAGCAAATTTGGAGAAATGTGGACAGTTTTGGTTTCCTTACCTAAAGACAGTCCTTGGGTCACGAACGGTTTCCATTCTGGAGTCATTTGCAAGTTGATTTGTACGCAAGTCCGAACACAATACAGAATATTATAAAGCAGCCACTCACAAAGACATGAAACGTTTGCATGTCTGGTCTTTAAAATACATCCCTGCATGGGACCGCGTTCTTAAGTGTGAGTGTTCGTAAACTGCACGTTCATAAATCAGGAACATCTTGTACTTCATTGTCTCGGAGGAATGTATAAAGGTTTCACTCATTCTTGGGATGAGCGGACTGCCTTCAGGAGGTGAATCTGAATAAGCAATATTACCTTCAAGTTTAGAAGGATGAAAGGTGGTCTCACAGAAGACTTAAAATAAATCTTAAGAGGCTTAACAGTTTAGGTGCAGACGAATGTATTCCCTGGCTGGGAAGTCTGGTTGTAGTCTCAGCATCAGAGGTCAGCCTGAATGACTTTTCACTCAAAGGGTTGTAAACGTTCGCAATCTTCCACCCCAGAAAGCTGTGAATGTTTAACCATTGAGTATATTCAAGATAAGGATTGATAGATTTTGGGGTACTAAAGAAAGTAACTATTTTGGGTGTAGAAGGGTTTAGATGGGGCAGAAGCTTCGCCATGATATTATTGAATGGTGGAGAAAGCTCAAAAGGCTGAATGGCTTATTCTTCCTCCTATTCTCACCTTATGTGCCTCCTCTATAAAAATAGATAGCAAATTCTGGAGTTTGCACGAGTGGAATAACGTGGAAATCCATAAGTTGTCATTAGCGATTCTATGCATACCCAGAGGGTGTGCTAATGAGGTCCACAAACAATGGAATCAATGGAAATTAATTGAATTGACAAGAGCTTTCTGTTTATATTGTTTCTCTCATTGCATAACACCCAAGATGCATCTTGTCAAATACGTGACTGAATGTTTAACAACATGTAAAGTTCTGCTAAAAGCCCTTATGGTCCTGAAAAGCTTTACTTTTATTTGAGGAATCTCAAGTTTCTCCATAATTACGATGAAGATCCAATACAAAATAGTTCTTCCATTAAGTCAAACACAAACATACCCATATGAAATAAGTACAAGAGAGGATCATTTGGCCCTGAAAGCCTGTTCATTTATTTTGCTACCTGAAAATGTACATTAAAAGTGCAGGATTTTTAGATCTTTTAACATCCTGCATGTGAATATTTCAATATGATTTGCTACTTAACTGCTTGTTGGCATCATAGTTACTGCATTCCAATTTAAAGTGCTGCTGGAAAGGGCTAAAAGTCAGATCATAAAGATCATTAGAAAGTGAAGTCAAGGAAAGGAACGGAACAGTCAGAGATGGAGCAGGTGAAGGTGAGATAATGATAGAAATTGGAAACAAATTTGCTGAAATTTTCCGATTCCAGATGTGAGCAGGAGGCAGCACCAATGACAAAGTCAATGCATGAGAAAAAGAGTTTTGGTTAGGTCCAGAGTAGATCTGGAATAAAACATTTTCCACATGCTCCACAAAGGAATAGGCACAGCTGGGGCCCAAGTGGGTGTCCATTGTCACACCTTTGACTTGGAGAAAGTGGGATGAACTAAAGAAGAAGTGGTTCAATGTGAGAACAAGTTCATCCAGATGAAGGAGGTGGAGGTGGATGGAAACTGTGCAGGCCTCTTTTCAAGAAAGAAGTAGAAAACCTCCAGAACATCCTGATGGTGAATGAATATGTAGAGGGACTGCACATCCCTGGTGAAGAGGAAGCAGCTAGGGCCATGAAACTTGAAATTGTGGAACTGACATAAAGGGTCAGAACAATCACTAACACAAAGTAATTGGGGCAAACTTGAACAAGGGAGAAAAAGAAAGTCAAAATAGGGAAAAAATACATTAATTAAGATTAAGAACAACTTGAAGAAATAGATCTGCCAATGTAGTCCTGTTTGTGGATTTTGTGAAAAGTGATAGATGTGGGTTGAGGGACTATGAGGTGGGAAGCTGCAGAGGGGAGATCTCCAGAGGATATAAGGTCAGTGACATTCCTGGTAGGGTCATGATCTAGTAGGGGATAGGAAGGAATATGTGACAGCTGGCACTCAGCCTCTATAAGGAGGATGTTGGCACACTAGATGATAACACGACCATCTTATCAGCCAGTTTCATCACAAATTTAGGGTTTGACCTGAGGAAACGGAGTGCAGGAAGTTCAGAGGGAGACAGGTATAGTGGGTGAGTGGATCATAGAAATCAAGACAGCTGACATCACTTAAAAGTTCTTGATGAAGCAAACAAGTGAAAGTACAAAGCCAAAGGGATGGGTCCAGGTGGATGGTTAAAAGAGTCTGTGCAGCAGAGAGATGATTCCTATCTAAAGAAGTAGGCACAGAGGTGAAGATGTCAGATTGTGCCCAGAATTAATTGAGGCAAGGGTATAAAAGGACAAAGCTAAGTCCTTAGTTGAGCACACATCATTCAGCAACAGAGAAGGGAAGATCAGAGGGTATAGTGAACATATGGCAAGAAGGGGGATTATATGAAGGGATAGAGTCAGTGGGAAGGGGAGGGAAGATAGGATCCAGAGGGATGATAGTATCTGGAATATTTGGAGTTTGCATTCCTTAACAAATAATTAGAAAAGAAAATTTGCATGACCATGCTTCACTGATATAGTCCCCAACAGATGAATAACTTTTTGATTTTAAAGGAGGCATCAAGGGGTACAGGGAGAAGGTGGGTACGTGACATTGAGCTAAAGGAACAGCCATGACCGTATCATCTAAGCCTGCTCCTAGTTTCTAATCTAATGGAATTTTTGCTGAAGTAATAGAGAAGGCTAATGACAGGAATGCAACGATCCATCTGGATTTTAAGGAAGCATTTGACAAAATGCCATACAAAAGGCAGGTTAACAGAATTGTGCCTCATGGAATAGGCAGATCATTAAGTTAGCTTCATTCATCATTGGATTAAGAACACAAAACAGTGAGTTGGGTAAATAGCTGTTTTCAGACTGGAAGATGGTAGGCAGTAATGTTCTCCAAGAGTCAACTCTAGGACTTTATTATGTATATAAATAAATGACTTGCATACAAAAATACAGAGTAAAATTTCAAACTCTGGCAATCACACCAAACTTGGTGGTGTGACAACCAAACCCACATGCTATTGTCGCTTAAAAATATTGATGAAAATGATGGTGCACAATTTTCCTCAGCTTATTACAAATAGGATAGTGTTTCTTTCATTTTTAGCTTTTAAGGTCATAATTTCTTTTTACTTTAAAACTAACTCTTAGTCTTTTATGAATGTTGTTTTCACATTTCTATTTCCTGAAGGTACTTTCTCATTTCTTTTCACGTTCTATTTTATAAGATAATTAAAATAACAAAATCATTATAATAATACTTTACACTCTAATGAAAATATCTTAAGACTTGTTTTGAGCTATTATAAAATACTAATAGACAAATATATTGGCAGTCAGTAGACATTTGCATGTAAGGTAAATTTCCTACAGAATTGCTTTTACTGTACAAATTTGTTTTCTCTGCAGCTGTGAGATAGTTTGTGTTGACGTTGCAGTCAGGTGTGGCAACAGCTAATATTGAAATAAGTTTAGCCAAGAAAAGAATATTCAAGTTCGGAATAGGGGGAAACTATGACGGCATACACATTATGTATCAAAAACTTTTCAGTCCAAGTGGACAACTGTAAACTTACAGCTTCATTTGTTACACACAGGCCCTTTTCAAGTTCCTCTTCTGTCATTGAATTATTTTGGCTAACATTTTGAAAGAAAAGCGGTGATTTTTCTAATTTGTAAAGCAGCATTCCTTATTATATCAAAGTGCTACTTGAAAGACTTTGAGAAGTTTCAACACAAAAAATAGTTTACATTTTACATTATGCTGCTGTTCCTCCCACCATAGAAGAATGGTTACATTGGACTTGAAATGTTAACTCTGTTACTGTCTCTACAGATGCTGCGGCTTGGTGAGTTTCTCCATCACTTTGTTTTTATTTAGATCTCCAGTATCTGTGGTACTTTGCTTCTTGACCATATACGACTCTGTGGAACTCCCACAGTAAAGTTTTGTGGTTGAAGCAATTAGCCTAAACAACTGCAAGCATTTTTATTTGTACTAGGTATAACATCAGCTCGTGGAGACTACATCAGACTAACTGAGACTAGACTGAGTTAATTTTAGTTGCAATAGCCAGAAAAAACATGGGTGTTAGTTCTCAAAATCTCCCATTACCATTGTGAATCCTCATGGCTGTTGCCAACCGTTACATATTTCAAATAGTTTACATTAATTCTTCTCCCAATTCAGCTGGAATTAATAATTCACCAAGTTGGATTTCATAGAAGAGAAATGAACCTTTAATTCTGACATACAGCAACAAGTTGCCTCTGAGCGAGCACAAAGAAAAAAGAAGGTGAATGGACTTGAAATGGTTCCTTATAAAAACTGTACTCAATGGCATTTCACCTCAATCCTAATCATTGCTCAAATACAACTATCCTGCATAATCCATTCTGTCATGTTTTTATTGTAAATTGGCAAATATAATTTTAAGGACTTACCTATAAAAATAAGAGCATCCTCTCACAGTATTATGACTGAAATATTCCTGTGTCTTTTCATTTCCAAAGTCTTCCAAAGGATCTGACCATAAGAGATCACACATAGGACCAAAAGCTGGTGGTTCTTTATATCTGTCTAACTGTGAAAAGAAACACATTGCATTTTCCTCCTGCTGTACCTAACGAGTGTAAAACCTCCCAATTTCAATGTCAGCACATTAGAAAGGCTATTTCTTTCAATTATTTTTAAAATGCTTTTTCCATTTCCCAATCATAGAAAACACATTATATATGAACTTTACATGTCTACATTTCATGAGAAATAAACAAATTGTGTTGGTAGTGTAGCTTTAATATGATGCTTTATAGAAAAACCAAAGGAAAAATGGATAGAAAGCCAATGAAGAAGGTGGTAGCAGAAATCATCTAGGCTTATTTCAAGAGCTGAATTTTAAGGATGATCTAAAAGGAGAAACGGTTTGTGAAAGGAAATTCAGTCTCATCATATGAAACATCGTTGTGAATGACTTGAATACTTCAGAAACACCTGCTGATTCAACAATTCTTTTCCTGCGTCAGTAAAGAGACATGTTTCTGGTTCTCTGCACAAAGTTTGACAGGAATGTTTTGATGTTTATCAGCCATGAGCTATAGCAGAGACCATAGTGATTAAACAACTAATTTAATTAGAGATGATTAAACACCTCTGGCAATATATTATTCCTCATTAAAACTACTAGCAAACCCTGTGTGTGGAAGAGTCATATACTTGATGCACAACATACAGAATACACTTGAAAGTGTTCTGAACCATTCGTCACGAGCAGCACTTTTGGGGATGCAGGAAGCAATGGATGTGGATCTCTCATTGAACACTAGTGGTTGATTCGTCTATGTTACCAGACCTCTGGACTACTACAGTTCTGTTTTTCTAGGCATCCTATCCCTCACTGATTTACCTAACATGCTTTAACTATCCAGACACTATCATGTATAAGGTAATCGGTTCTTCAATTTCTTTCATCATGCTTCCTTTTGTCTTCCTTTTTTTTAGTTTTACAGTTTTTGAAAAGAAAAGAGAAAGATAAGTTTACCACTTTGTAAAATGTTAACCCATAACATTGAAAAACTCGCCTTCTTTATATCGTCCAGGGTGTGTATTTCAGGGGAAAGACCTCCATGTACACAAAGAAATTGTTGGTTCATCAGTGCAGCAAGTGGAAGACAGTCAAAAGCTTCCATACATGCATCATATATCTGTTCTGAATACTTGATTTTACCTGAGGAAAAAAATCCATGTTTATTTTAGGATACTGAAGGTCTAAAAATTTTTAAACATCATAATAAATCATGCTAGATCATATTTAATTACTTTAAGGATCATGGGTAAGACCTTTCTCAAGATAATTTCAACTTCATCATCTGTAGTATAACTTGATAACGTGGATTTACCATCTATTGGAGGACCCATCCAATTTGCATTCCAGTAAACACTTTGCCTAATTTGCACAAAGTTGTGTGTGTACGAGTTATATACTTGACGCACAATATACAGAATACACTCGAAAGTTTGCTCTCACATGTTCTGAACCATTCATCACCATTGGCACTTTTGGGGATACAGCTTGCTGTGGATGTGGATCTCTCATTGAACACTAATGGTTGGAGAAAAGGAAGTCAAAAGTGGTATTTCAGATATCAGCTATCTGACCCTAACAAATCTCAGGGAAGGAACCCTACTTTTACCATGAGGGATGGCAAGATCAGGGGGACGCTGAAAATCAGTAGGTAAATACTGAGTTGGTTGCATTGGCATCTCAATGACGCTGCAGTCAGCCACTACTTTACACGTACATCTCTAACTCTTTAGACAGAATTTTATCGGCTACAGGATGGTAGACTGGGGGGCTTGGGTGACCAGTAAAACCGCAGAGAGCTGCACCAGACATTTCTCGGCAGTGAGTTGTGAGCTGAATTGGCTGGCTACCACATGGACAGCAGACAGCCAGTTTAAAACACTATGTCTTCTCTAAAGGGACAATTTTCAGGGCTACCTCCCTACCTCATGTGAAAGCTATCAGCTTTGGTGGTGTGCCCTTCCTGTGGCCATTCAGGAGAGACCAGGAATGACAAACTCTGTGACTCCAATGCTCCCCTGGTGGCGTTTCCCTTGTGTCCCACATAGCCTTCTCCAACATGCATCTGGCAAAATAAAATCTCACATTCTCTCTAAGGTTGCCACATTTTGAGGCATTACATTTTTAGATTTGCTGGCCGTCTGGTTGGATTGGCAGCATCTACCCAAAATCCTGAATATCATGGTGAGGTCAAAGGTGGTCAATTAGTTGGTTGCCTCCAAAAATGTTGCTGAACAGGTCTTGCTGCTAATTGGCACTGACATAGGGGTCCCAAAGCTTGGGGTCAAATCCAGCCCTTTAAAATCTAAGCGTGTCTCCTCACCTACTGTAGATATTTGCACTATGACTGTTGAAGAGGATAAACAGGAAGAGAAAGAGCAGAAGAAAAAGAAATTCCTTTTCATGGACAATGCTGATGACACCAACAACAGGATATTGAGGAAATGGTCACCCTGCCTCAGGTTCCGCAGCCACATCTCTTCTTTCGTAGCCCTTACATTACTTTCTTACTTACTTGGATCAAATCATACTCTTTCATGCAAAGGAATTAAGACACAATCAGTCAGGATATGACTCCAGCTGGTTTATAGAGCATAGGGAATGCGAAAGTCAGGAAATGTCATTTTCCTGTAGTGACAGCTAAGAAACTTTTCTATAGCCTAGGAGTGTGGCACTCACTTGAATAGAAATACATCTGAAGAACACCAGACCAACCTATAGGCTCTGTGGTCAGTCTCCAAGGATGATGACCTCTGACATCATCTTTCTCAAATCTTAAAACTAATAAATATTTTTCAACTGAATCCTTCTGTGATATCTACACAGCAAATGTGATTAATTAAATGTTATATTTCTAAAGCACAATATTAGCCTCAAAATTCAGTTGAAAAACACATGACTCATTACAGTTTCAAATATGTTTGCATACATTCGATATTGATGTATTGTTCTGGTGAAAAGTAATACTTCTTATTTGACAGTCAGCCCAAAATTGTGATACACTACTAAATCATAACTGCTAAGCTAAGCAGCAGTCCTCAAATAAGTGGTTTAAAAGGGCAAATGATATTAAAATTGAGGTAACTTATTTGAATTCCTAATGAGAAATATTTTGATGATATTAATAACTTGTAACCATTATTTCAATCAAATTTTCAAATATATGACGAATTAGAACCCAAAAATTCAGTATTTTCCCATTAAGGGTAATGCATTAGGTGTGCATTGTTTGTTAAATTTAAATTAGGAAATCAACAACAGTTTTTACAAGTTTAATGTCTTAAAAGCTAGTTTGATTCTAAAAGGCACTCTTCTCTTGGTCAATGAAAGAATACAATTAAAGACACGTACAAACGGGGAAGAAAGTCACAATGAATGAAACAACTGAATGAAGTCGGGAGAAGCACATCCAGTAAATTTGGGAGAGTATGGGTGATAAATTGGAGTTACATGCACTCATTTTGGGGGCGCACAAGTGCTCATAGAAATCCAAAATGGTGTGCACAACCCTGTGGAATAAATTGTGTCAGATCCTGTATTGTTGACAGCATCAGCAGATATGCAGTGAACATCTACCGAAGTATGAAAAGTAGGCTGATCCAGATGTTAATCAGTGGCAACTTTGGAGCTTAATGATTAAGCTCACAATCCCTCAACATCCCAGAATTGGGCATCTGTTTATCAGCAAGGTGAATGAACAAATATTTTGGATCTTTCTTCACAGTGGCAGATGCATGTCACAAATTAGAAATAGAATTTAACTAAGAGGCTGAAAAACGTGAGTAACTTAAGGTAATTATAGCCAAAAAACATTGGAAAAACAAAGGACTAAATTCTGACAAATTTCTTAGGACCTGGAAAGATTTTCTAAAATTCCCTACATTCTAAAATGATTTCTGTGTATTGCAAGTGAATAAATGTAACATTCCAATAAACACACAGTGAGAAAATATGGAACCTCAGGCCAGTTAGCCTGACACAATTTGTCAGGAAAATGTTGGAATCTGTTATTAAGGAAATCTTTAAAAATACACTGAGAAAATCATAGTATGTCAGAGAAATAACATTTGATGTATTTATTGGAGTTTTGAAAGATACAACCAGGATGATAGGTTAGAAAGGAACTAGTAAATGTAGCTAATTGGATTTTCAAAAATGCTGTCAATAAGAGGCGATGCAACATGTAAATGCTCTTGGATTTGGGTTGACATGGTAGCACGGGTAGAGGTTCGGTTACCAGTCAGAAAGTGAAGACAGGACATAAGTAGAATATTTTCAATTTAGCAGGCTGTGAAACGTGGAGTGCTGCATATATCAGTGATAGGGGTTCAGCTGTTTGTAATACATATTAATAACTTAAACAAAGGGGGAGAGAGTAATGTATCTAAATTTGCTGATGATAGAAATTTACGTGGGAATGCAAGCTGTGAAGAGGTCACAATAGCTCCATAGAAATATGGACAGTGAGTGGGTAACAAGGTGATAGACATTATACTATAAAGGGAAGTGTGAGGTTATTCACTTTGGTAGTAAAAATAATAAAACATTTTTTAAAAGGCATGAAACCTGTAAATGCTGATTTTTCAGAGAGACTTGGCTCTGCTTGTACACAGTGAATTCTTCTCTCGTTTTCATGAGTGTTCAGCAAAAGAAAGTTTAATATCTACCAGTAGGTTGGTGTTGTCTCTTGCATGACATCAGACCAAGTCTCAATTTGCATAAGTGATTGTAAATCTGCTTATGAAGTCAGTGCTGGAGTAATGGATGGAGATATTGTCTGTTCGGTGCACACACTTGTCCTGAAAATATTATTTCTGTCCTCCTCAAATACTGACGACAGAGGCTACTCGGTTAGAGTCTGCCCAGGCTTATGTTCTCCCATGTAATGTGATCCAGCTTAGAAACTGGGATAACAAGGTATAGAGCTGGATGAACACAGCAGGCCAAGCAGCATCAGAGGAGCAGGAAGGCTGACGTTTCGGGCCTAGGCCTAGGCCTGCTATGTTCATCCAGTTCTACAGCTTGTTATCTCAGATTCTCCAGCATCTGCAGTTCCTACTATCTTAGAAACTAGGAGGTTGGTTTTCAGATTATTCACTTGTGGGATATAGACATCACTGGCTGGCCAGCATTTATTGCTTGTTCCTAGTTACCCTTGAGAAGGTGGTGGTGACCTGCCTTCTTGAACCACAGTCCATGTGCTGTAGGTAAATATACAAAGCCATTAGGGAGGGAATTTCAGGACTTTGACACAGTGACACTGAAGGAACAGTGATATATTTCTAAGTCAGAATGATGAATGACTTGGAAGGGAACTTGCAGGTGGTGGTATTTCCATTTACCTCCTGCTCTTGTAGTTTTAGATGTAAGTGGTCTTGGATTTTGGAAGCTGCTCTCTAAGGATCTTTGGTGAATTTCTGCAGTACATCTTGTAGATAATACACACGGTTCCTAATGAGCATCAGTAGTGGGTGAAGTGGATGTGCTACCAATCTTTGTCCTCGATGGTGTCAAGAGTTGTTGGAACTCCCAAGCAAGTGGGGAGTACTCCATCACATTCCTGACTTGTGCCTTGTAGATTGTGGGCTTTGGGGAGTCAGGAGGTGAGTTACTAGCCTCTGACCTGCTCTTGTAACCAATGCATTTACAATGCGAGTACGGTTGAGTTTCTGGTTAATGGTAACCACCAGAATGTTTACAGCAGGGAATTCAGGGATGGCAACACCACTTGAATGTCAAGGGACAGTGGTTACTGGAGATGGTCATGGCATGGCATTTGTGTGGCGCAAATGTTACTTGCCACTTGTCAGCCCAAGCCTGGAAATTGTCCAGATTCTGTTGAATTTGAACATGGACTGTTCAGTATCTGAGGAATCACAAATGGTGCTGAACATTGTGCGATCATTGTCGAACCCACTTCTGACCTTTGACATAATTGTTTTCATATCTATGTTTGGGACATCCTCTGGTACAGATTCCAATTTTCAGCTGGCAAAAGGCTACTGCCTTCGGTATCCAGGAATCCTTTGAATCCTCCCTCAGAAGGTCTCGACCCGAAACGACAACTTTCCTGTTCCTCTGATGTTGCTTGGCCTGCTGTGTTCTTCCAGCTCCATACGGTGTTATCTTATGGGAGAACCACA